TTTTTTTTTTTTTTTTTTTTTTTTTTTTTGCAATTAGAGAATTTCTGTGTCTGATATATAAATACAACCTGCTTTTTGCAGCAGATCTTTTACAATAGATAAAATTGCAAACTATTTTCTATATTCATGTCAGGTACTTGTTTTAAAGACACAGGTGTTTGTCAACAGGTGATCTCTTTGTATTACAGTAGTGCTTACAGCCCTTAATAAGAGATCAGGGTCCTGTTGCATTACATTATACTGTCACACACAGAGAACTGCTGCTCTCACTTGGTCTATCTGAATCTCTTTGTGTCCGTATTTCAGTGCCTAGAGCAGCACTGCTTGCTTTTACACTTGTTTTTTCTGCGTGGGGAAAGCATTTATTTTCCAATGCAAGTTGGTTTCTTTAGAAAGCACTTCTACTGCTTCTTGTGTGTAGGCAGCCTGAAAGCCTTTCAGCAAATAAGGTTGCTGTGAAGTCTATCTTAAGATATTCTTTGAGGACTTTGGGTGCTTTCCAGGAGCTAGGAAAGAAAGCATCTGAGTTGAAACTTAATCTCTGTATTAATGCCTGCACATCCCTGGGAATATCATAAACCTTGGCAAAATTGCTGTGACCTCAAGTTTTATTTAGCAGTGATGGTTTTAAGGACATGCATATTATTGATTACAAAAAAAAAAAGTAATGATTTGGGGATAGAAACACAGCTATTTTTAGTTGACTGGATTATTTTCAGTAAAGTACCTTTAGCCAGTCTGCTTTAGACTTTAGGAAAACCTGATTCTCATCTCCAGCAGCCTACATTCTATGTTGTCTTCCCCAGTTGAAGCTCCCTTGCAACCCAGTGAGGTGCAGGAGGCTCTTTCCCCACATACTTCTCTTTCTGGTGAGATAGTAAGCATAACACAACACTTTTTGCAGCATGAACGTGACTAGTGAAATAGCAAATTAGGTAAATAACAGAAAACATTTGCAACAAATTGTCAGCAACTGCCTGCAAGCTAAGGTAAGTTCACCGTTCAATGAATTGTCATGCTTCTTTTCTGCCCACCATCTAAACAGACACACCACTTCTCAAATATTTGGGAAAAATATG